TTGCATTTTGGTTCTTAATCGAGGTTTAATGTAGATGTCTATGGGCCGCAGCATTCATTTACCATCAGGTGGACTTTGTGCTCGTTTGCTACTTTTAATCTATTGAAAACAATCCTGTATCATCTAGTCCCTTAGTCCCTTTATACAATGAAATGTTGGCTTTATTGCTAAGTTGTTTGAAGCTTTATGATATAGGTTTAAAAAATTATTTTCTCATAAGAAAAGTTTCACTTATAATAAGATACAGATTGGCAATGGCATGAAGCAGGACGAGGCGTCTCGTAAATTACATCGTTTTTTTTTTTAATATAGAAGAGGGGCAAACGAGCATGCGACTCAGCTGATGGTAAGTGTCGACCGCCGCGAATGAACATCTGCAACAGCAGGAGAATTGCAGGTGCGTTGCCGGCCTTTTAAAATGAAGTAAACTCGTTTCTCGAAGGTCCCTAAGACGTTTTTTACGTGGTAGAGCCATGCTGCAGCTATATTAGTAGTAAGGACCACGCTCTCACAGAATACCAGCGTCAAATAGCAGCTTGACACTGCTGTGTTTCGTATGGTGAGTATAGAGAACCGGAGAACCTTTTCACTGGAAACGAGGCATTCCATCTTAGTCCTCACGGGTGACAACGCATCTGCATTTTGATTCGCAAACGAGGATAAATGTAGGTGTCTATGGGCCACAGCAACCACTTACCATCAGGTGGGCTGTGTGCTCGTTTGTCACCCTATATTATAAAAAAAAACACCTATAGTTCCGGAAAAATCACCGGTAGGAAACAATTCCACAAAGAAGTCGTGCGAAGAAGAAAACTCCTAGTAAATCGCACAGCAGTGGACCTCCGAACATCCAAATGATGTGGATGTTAACGTGAGTCTTCTTGCGATGTGCTTTAGTGAAATTTGGCGGCTGGACTTAATCCGAACGATTCCTCGGAGCACTCCTCGTGGTAAATGCAATAGAAAATGCAAAGGGATGCATAACATATTCGCAGCGCCAGTGAACCGAGTAAAAGTAGTTTTATTCAACAAGAGGATATGGGTATTATTCTCAACAAGAACATGCTAATATTATCAATATCAACGCATCAATGACCTCAGTATCGCTAACGCAACACCATTTCAAGAAATCATAAAATATACGCACACTACATAAATAAGTCTCTCAGAGGGGCACAGAGAAACAAAAGCAGATCGCGCAGAAGCACGTGCACACTACGCAGGTTAACGAACCGACTCACTCGCTACTAGATACGGGTGTAGGAATAAATAGCGTGGTCTAGCCTGAATGAACTTCAATGGATATTTAAACAATACTAGTGGTCGCCATAATATAAGGGCTGCAGCGTGGCTCTACTACGTAAAAATTTTGTAATTACTATAATCTGGTGTATAAATATTAAATACCAATCGATTATAACTGTACAGTATTCAATACAAGTCACAACCCTAGCTCGATATTAGTACTATTATTTATTCTGTGTCGATACACACACATTTGCATGTTCATTTCCGTATCGATGCACATGCTCATAAAGCTAGGTTTCGACGCGCGAAATAAATAATGTTGCATATTTTTTTTTATGAATGTATTTTTATACTGAGAGTTGCAGACTTATTTGACTCGTTATTCTCGAGCAATAAATCATATACATCTCAGCAACATTTGCCTAAACTTATCAGATTTTTATCTCAGGTAATCCGAGTTAGGTATAGGCTGTTTGGACGTAGTTGTTAAGGCGTGACGCAGCACACCGTTTGAAATAGAAATAGAAACTTTTTTATTCAATGTAGATTATAAATAATACGTATTGAAGGTCAGTCTTATGTGTAATTTACCACTGGTTCAGAAAACTCCTCCTGGGAAGAACTAGCAAGAAACCCAGCGAGACTTTTCCTTTTTGAAAAGACAATAGTTTAGAGTAATTTAATGTTACTCAATTGTTAACAATTCATGACAAATTAGAAATAGTTTTTTTTTTATAGGATAGTGTGACAAGCGAGCACACAGTCCACCTGATGGTAAGTGGTTGCTGTGGCCCATAGACATCTACATCTATCCTCGTTTATGAATCAAAATGCAGATGCTTGGTAGTGATCATCTCATTCCCAGGTTTTATTATCATCTATGTAAGTTCTGTAATATTATAATAAACCTTTCCATAAAAACTTTGTTTAATGAAGTTTTTGATTTTTGCTGAGGTGACATTTTGTATGTGTTCTAAGACTTGTAAAAGCAGTAGACATCGCACCAAGAATGAATTACTGACTCAGTGGTGTCGAGTAACTGGTACTACTAGCTTGTGTCTGTTCCTAGTATTTACAGAATGAATATTTTTTTTTTTTATTTAAAAATCTTTATTGCACTTAAGATGTACAATTGGCGGACTTAATGCCTTTAGGCATTAAGTCCGCCTTTAGCCTTAGGCCTTTAGGAATATCACTTTTTTAAAACTACTTTTATTATTGCGTACATTTTTTGTTTACGTACATTTTACGATATCAGAGCGAGAAATTCCCCAGGGGTTTTTGGCATATTCGTAAGGCGTTTTTGCGTAAAGCAGTAAATTTAACGTCTGTGATAACCATGCGGTAAAATAATTCTTTTGAGCCACCTTGTCGCCAACGTCATGCACCGTGTGGCTTCTGTCCTAATGTCAGTGCAAATGCTTAAGATGAAAATATACTTGCTTAGGGGAAGCCTTTTCAATAGCCCCTGCTGACCTAAGTCATAGTGAGCGCAAGTCTAAGAAATTCGAATCCTTTGCAGTGCGCATTAGGAAAGAGGCAGGAAACCATTCATACAGATAATATGTTGACTGTTAACATCATTAGAATGTATTAAATGTGCTAGTTGTAGACGATAATAGGGACTTTTGTAGGATTTGCATCGTTACGTTCGATGCCAAGAAAAGACAATATTACCTATATAGAATGAGCTGTCTCATTCTCGCTTTTTAGTCGATTTAATGGAGGAGCTCCTCAATTCGACAGTATGCTGTACCCACGGGATTATATGAGGTAGTGGATATTCTTACACCGCCACGTAATCTGATATTTCTTAGTCCAATATATAAACATTAGGGTGGCAAATTATGTTAGAAGTGGTGTCATAAGTTTGACGGCTATGTGTGTGGTACAGTTGAACCGATTTGGATGAGTTTTTTTTTTTTAATTTAAGAGAATGTTTTCTAGCGATGATTCAGCCGTTTAAAGATCATCAGGTCTTTTTATTTCGGAGGTTTTTTAAATTTTCAATTTAAGTTATTAAGATGAAGTTTTTAATGTAACTATTTAGACGACATAAAGATTGTGAACTTCCTTAATCAACATTTTTAACTTTAAATTATTCATCCATAAGTCCTGAAATCGGAGCCTTAATTCTTCTTTAAATTATGTCTTAGCAACGAGTTATCAACATATCGAGTCTTTCGGTATTATGTAGTTTTAATTAATGCGTAGTTCGAGTGTTATTATTAAACTGAATAGTCGTTTTGCAAGTCGTTTGTTATAGTATCTTTAGCGTGCCGTAGTAGAGTGGGTCGTTAACACCGCCCACTTGACCTTGTTCGCGTAGTCTGTAGTTCTACTGCGTATTTGGCCGGCGGCGGCAGCGCATGTTTAATGCAAACAGCTAACTATTGCCACGGGGACCTGTCTCATCTAATTATACCTCGGTAGACTGGTACCTATATATTTTATTAACTAAAAACCCGCCCCAGTGTCGCCTGGATGGCGAAGATTACACATGTGCATGTGCCAATCGTGAACAATTCGGTCATTTGACCCGGATCGAGTAATAGTATTGATGATTTTGCAATCATATGTTTGGATCGATCCGGAACAAATGAAATTAAAGATAATGAAAAACCATTTGTTTTGTCAATTATTGTTCATTCCCAAAAAACTAAGATAGAATGCCTCGTTTTCTTAAAAAGGTTATCGGTTCTCTACACTCACCAAACGACAGTTTTCAACAGTGGTAGAGCCACGCGGTAGCTTTTGCTGTCGCACGGATGGGCCGGCTCGAACCGGGGTGGTACCACGACCTCACAGAATACCAGCGTGAAGTAGAGGTTTACCTCTGCGTTTCGCTTGGTGAGTGTAGGTGGCCGGAGGCCCTTTTTACTGGAAATGAGGCATTCCATCTTAGTCCTCACGGGTGACAACGCATCTACATTTTGATTTGTAATAGATAGATGTAGATGTCTATGGGCCGCAGCAACCACTTACCATCAGGTGGTCTGTGTGCTCGTTTGTCACCCTTATCCTATAAAAAAAAAACGATTCACAGCTAACAGCAACATAAAGCAATATCAGCGTATTCTGTAAGAGCCGACCTTAATATATTATAGCTGCAACGTGGCTCTATCACGAAAAAGTTACTATAATTTCTCTTCAGCCATTCCGAAGATTAGTCCGTACATACAGACGAACAGACAGGTAAAAATATTAAAGATGATAAAAATCAATTAGCTAAGCACTCACTCACCGGTCAGCCACCGCAGATCAGAGTCTACTCCACATGAGAATGCCTCGTTTAAAGGCGAAACACGTGTCTTATTATCGACGGTGGTGTGTTTCCTAGTGTAGTGGTGCTGGCTGGCATTAGTGGTGGCGGGGGGGGGGGGGGGGGTATATTTATAGTTTATTTTATATTTGTAGTTTGTAGTAGCCACTGCGTGGCGCAGTGGCTTAGCAATGAGTTGCTGCCCTGGGGACCGCGGGTTCGAATCTCGCACGGAACAAGTATTTGTATGGTCTGCAAATAATTGTTCCGGGCTTGGATGTTTGTCCTTGTGAAATTTATGTTTGTAAACTGCCTCCACGATACAGGAGAAAATCCTAGTGGGGGTAACGTTTTTGTTTTAAAAAGTTTTGGAGATTTGACCTCTAATGTAATAGGTATCCTATTATATCAATTTAGCAACCTTTATCCCGGTCGGGTTTATGCACACTTGGTCTCATCACCAACTGACGCTGACATTTCTCCATTCCAGGTCATGGCAAAACCCACAAGGACGCGGCGAGCGTGCGCGCGACCCACCCGATCCCGGCGGCTTGCGGCCTCTACTACTTCGAAGTGCGCATCGTCTCCAAGGGCAGGGACGGCTACATGGGCATCGGGCTGTCTGCGCACGGGGTGAACATGAACCGCCTGCCCGGTGAGTGAAACCACAAAACACGTTTTATTGGGATAACTGCACTGCTGTGTTCCAGTGTGAAGGGCATGGAGAGCCAGTACAGTTACGTGACGTGAGGCATTCCATCTTTGTCCTCAGAGTTCACAAGGCATCAGTAGCCTTCTTTGTTTGAAGTTGTTCGTTGTTTGTACGTGGTAGAGCCATGCTGCAGCTATATTATGGTTGTAGCACGAATGGGTGGGCTCGACCGGGGAAGGACCACGCTCTCACAGAACACCAGCGTAAAATGGCAGCTCAATGCTGCTGTGTTTCGTATGGTGAGTGTAGAGAACTGGAGACCCTTTTTACTGGAAACGAAAACAGGGCATTCAATCTCAGTCCTCAGGGATGGCGGCGCATTTGCATTTTGATTCTTAATTGAGGATAACTGTAGATGTCTATGGGCCACAGCATCCACTTACCATAAGGTGGACTGTGTGCTCGTTTGATACCCTTAATCTATACTATAAAAAAAGAAACGATTAAGATTTTTTTAATGAAGAAAGAAAAGAGAAAGATATCAAAAATATTGCGACTTTTTTAATTTATAATTTTATAGGACTTTGTCGTTGTCTTTGTTGTCTTTTGTCTTTGTCGTTCCGACTACAATTACATAATCACTAATTCACTTCACTTTAGATCCAGTAAAATAGTCCACACAAACGCACACACACGCTCGCACGCACACGCACACGCACACGAACACGCACACGCATGCATACTCAAGTCATAAACAAAGGGAAAAGAACGGTAAATATTGCCTTTTAGTCTGTAATTATGCTTTGTAATATAATATATAGACACATATTTAATAAGTATATAATATTATGTATAGATATAGGTATGGAAGAGCGGAGTCACCTGCTACAGGCATTATTTGCTTAAAAGGATACTCCGGCCACTATGATTGTAAACCAAATCTTTTTACTGAAATAAATTTTATTATTATTATTACTTATTCCCTACGCAGAATCAAGTCTGCTAGCTTAACCAGCATTTTAACCTCTTTGGATTCACTCGCTCACAAGACTCATTTTGCTGGAAAAGAGGCATTCTATCTTAGTCCTCACGGGTGACAACGCATCTGCATTTTAATTCGCAAACGAAGATAGATGTAGATGTCTAAGGGCCACAGTAACCACTTACCATCAGGTGGACTGTGTGCTCACCCTTGTCACCCTTGCTCTATATAAAAAATCTGTTAAGAGATTTTACATAATAAGGTCTCCTCGATCGCGGTAGGACCACGCTCTCACATAATACCAGCGTGATATAGCAGCTTAATGTTGCCGTGTTTCGCATGGTGAGTGTAGAGAACCGGAGATCCTTTTTACTGGGAACGAGACATTCCATCTTAGTCCTCAAGGGTGACATCGCATCTGTATTTTGATTCTTTAATATTCGTAACAAGATAATAATTACAGGTTGGGATAAGCACTCGTACGGCTACCACGGCGACGACGGTCACTCGTTTTGCTCGTCTGGCACGGGACAGCCTTACGGACCCACCTTCACCACCGGCGACGTGATCGGTTGCGGCGTCAATCTCGTAGACAACACATGCTTCTACACGAAGAACGGTCACCACCTCGGCATCGCGTTCAGAGGATTACCGGTGAGTGTGGTCATTGTATAGAATCACGCACATCAGTCACTTTTTAAAATTTAATTAAAAACTGTTCTCTTAAATATGCTACACTATTCGTGAACATTAAAACTACCTTCTCCATAAAAAAAAAAGTATAGTTTAAGAAGTATTATAAAATTGAGATAAAATTACCTTATTTCTAAAATGTTTAATATTGCAGTTTTAACTTGGTGCTTTAAGTAAAATAATATATAAGAGCAAACTGTGCAGTGCCAAGACAAACAAAATTATGTTTATTGGCACGAAGAAATTATATTGTAATTAAAACGGCACTTAGATGAAATAAATTAACAAAATATATACAGGCAGTCGGGGCATAGCATACAATAAATGAAAACTTGGTGTTTATTATTTCGATAGAATAAATTCCAAAAATACAATTTTTTTTATAATAATCTATAAAAATAAAAACGTTTTTATTTAATGTAGATTAATATTTTTTTATGTTTAATTTACTGGTTTGGAAAATACCTCTGCCCTGCAAAGAGCCAGCAAGAAATCTAGGAGGACATTTTTTTGAATAAAGAACAGCATACAAACATTTATTGTTATTCTTGCAACGTATAGTATATTCGGCCATACGCTAAATACCGAATATTGTCCAGACTTCCTGGCCGAATAGCCGAATATTAGCAAAGATATTCGGCTGGGAAGGCAGTAGTGTTGATTATTCAGAGCGTCTATTCTCTGAAGCTGGGATTGTCTACGTGAAGAAAAGGAGTAAACTATTGCCTTAAAACACAGCAAAATCAGTCAATCTGCATCATTATCTTCCACTTTAATTACGAACATTCGACTACATCGACATTTATGTGATAGTTTTTTTTTTTAATTTTTATAATATGAAAGTTGATTATGTACCTACATAGGCTGCACTAAAAGTATCGGGAATGGAATATTTCCACTGTTCCTGTCATATTAAAATCTTTTTAATTGAAAAGTCCTTGGTTTTAAAAATCGAATACCATTTATTTATTTAAAAAAAGATTCTCGGTCTTGTCGTAAGGTTTTGTCAAACTTGTTTAGTCGTTGAGAAAATGGAATTGACTCGAGAAAATTCAAGAGCGATGATTTATTATGACTTTCGAAGTGGTTTAACACAAAAACAGTGTGTTGACCGGATGATTTCTGCTTTTGGTGATGAAGCCCCATCCAAAACCACAATTTATCGCTGGTTTGCTGAATTTCAACGTGGACGTGTCAAGCTCAGTGATGATCCCCGTCAAGGTCGTCCAAAATCTGCAGTCACTCAAGAAAACGTTGATGCTGTGCGTAAGCTGATTGAGGAAGATCGACATGTGACATACCGCGAAATTCAGGCAACTTTAGACATTGGGATGAGTCAAATACAAATAATCTTGCATGAATAATTAGGTGTAAAAAAGTTGTTTTCCCGATGGATACCGCATTCGCTCTGTGAAGAGCAAAAAGCGGCTCGCGTTACTTGGTGCGTCAGAACTCTCGAAAGATTCCACGCAGGATCCTCAAATGCTGTATACAACATTGTATCAGGTAACGAATCCTGGATATACGCGTACGAACCCGAAACAAAAAACCAGTCACGAGTTTGGGTGTTCGAAAATGAGTTAAAGCCAACAAAAATTGTTCGTTCACGGAGTGTTGCAAAAAAAATGGTGGCCACGTTTGTCTCCAAAATCGGCCATGTTATGACTATTCCTCTTGAGGGACAAAGAACGGTTAATGCAGAATGGTATGCTAGCATTTGTTTGCCACAGGTCGTTTCTGAACTCCGTAAAGAGAACTGCAACCGCCGCATCATCCTCCATCACGACAATGCGAGTTCTCACACCGCACACAGAACAAAAGAGTTTTTAGAGCAAGAAAACAGAGAATTATTAGACCATCCGCCGTACAGCCCCGACCTAAGCCCTAATGATTTCTATACTTTCCCTAAAATAAAGAATAAATTGCGTGAACAGAGATTTTCATCACCTGAAGAAGCTGTGGACGCCTACAAAACGGCCATTTTGGAGACCCCAACGTCCGAATGGAATGGTTGCTTCAATGATTGGTTCCATCGTATGGAAAAATGTGTCAAATTTCGCGGAGAATACTTCGAAAAGCAATAAATACATTTTAAATAGTAATGTTGGGTCACTTCCTTGATTCCCGAAATTTTCAGTGCCGCCCTCGTATGACTAATTTAATGATTACAAGAAAAAATATTTAAAAATAAATAAATATTTTCATTTTACCAATTATTTGACTACAATAAAACCTCTTACTTGTATTCGATATTCGGCCGAATAAGATAAAATTAGCCGAATAGACCGAATATCGATAATAGCCAAAGATGTATTCGTTGCAAGTATATTTATAAATAGTATGGTATCGCATGCCCAGGGTTTATTTATCATCAATAAATTTTTTAATATTGTAATAACCATTTTCTTACAATCTTTGTTTAATAAAGTTTTCGAACTTGACAGAAGTCATATTTTAAATATTTTTTGGAACTTTGTTCTAAAAGCGTATACTCGTACAGCGCCCCAAGAATGAATTACTGACTCGAGTCGAGTAACTGGTAATACTAACTTGTGTCTGTACCTAGCATACACAGTGAATATAACTTATGCCTTAGGGACTTTCGCTTGTAATTGTATAACGTTAACGGTGGAATGTGTCGTGACCCGGCAGCCGAACCTGTACCCGACGGTGGGACTGCAGACGCCTGGCGAGGTGGTGGACGCGAACTTTGGACAGGCGCCGTTCGTGTTCGACGTGGAGGATATGCTGCGGGAGCTGCGAGCTCGCACGAGACTCACAATCGACCAGTTCCCGCTGCCAGATGCACAGGGACAGTGGCAGCAAGTGCTGCACAGGTGAGCGCACCACAAGCTTGATACAGCCACGCTGCAGCTGTATTAAAGTAAGACTGCCCATTGGATTGACTGGGAAAAGACCACGCTGTCACAGAATATCAGCGTAAAATAGCAGCTTAATGCTGCTGTGTTTAGTATGGTGAGTGTAGAGAACCGGAGACCCTTTTTACTGGAAACGAGGTATTCCATCTTAGTCCTCACGGCTGACAACGCATCTGCATTTGGATTCGTAATCGAAGATAGATGTAGATGTCTATGGGCCACAGCAACCACTTACCATCAGGTGGACTGTGTGCTCGTTTGTCACCCTTATCCCATAAAAAAATAAAAAATAAACGTCTACAGACTGCATTAGCCACTGACCATCGGGTGAACTGTAAGTTCGTTTGTCACTTCAGTTTTAATGTGTTCAGGATGGTGTCGTCTTACCTGGTACACCATGGCTACTGCAGTACAGCGCAGGCCTTCTCGCGCGCCACTGGACAGCACATCGACGAAGATATCGCCTCCATTAAAAATAGACAAAGTAAGTTTAGTATGTATGTTTGTAAACTGTTGTTTTTTTTTTCAAAAAACATCCCATTAGGTTTCTTGCTGGTTTTCCCAGGACAAGATATTTCCCGAACCAGTGGTAAATTAAACATAAGAGTGATTTTATAATATTTAGATTATAATATTTAGATTTATAATCTTATTTTGTGTATGTGTATGTATATAGAGTAATAAATGATTTCACTGTACACTTGATGATAAGCCTGTCATTCAAATTTAAAATAATTATATATATATATATATATAATTATTATTTAGTTTTTTCGAGACCACTACTCAAAAGTTATTGTAGATAGGGTAAATCGAAATAATTACATAATGAGAGGTCTCAAACTTAAATAATTTTTGCAACTATTGTTTAGTTATCAATATAATATGTTTATTTCTAGAAAGAGCTTTTAAAATACTTTATTATGTCAACAATGTTAAATATCCCTAATATATTTTATTTTATTATAGTATATATAACTAATTATAGACTAATGTTTATTCTAGTGGTGCATAGTAGTGGTACGCAAAGGTTTGTTGTGTGATGTATAGTGTTCGTACGCAAAGGTTTGTTGTGTGATGTATAGTGTTCGTACGCAAAGGTTTGTTGTGTGATGTATAGTGTTCGTACGCAAAGGTTTGTTGTGTGATGTATAGTGTTCGTACGCAAAGGTTTGTTGTGTGATGTATAGTGTTCGTACGCAAAGGTTTGTTGTGTGATGTATAGTGTTCGTACGCAAAGGTTTGTTGTGTGATGTATAGTGTTCGTACGCAAAGGTTTGTTGTGTGATGTATAGTGTTCGTACGCAAAGGTTTGTTGTGTGATGTATAGTGTTCGTACGCAAAGGTTTGTTGTGTGATGTATAGTGTTCGTACGCAAAGGTTTGTTGTGTGATGTATAGTGTTCGTACGCAAAGGTTTGTTGTGTGATGTATAGTGTTCGTACGCAAAGGTTTGTTGTGTGATGTATAGTGTTCGTACGCAAAGGTTTGTTGTGTGATGTATAGTGTTCGAAAGTTTGTTGTCTAAATTGGTGTAACGTGTGGTTGGCAGGGATATCGAAGCTGGTGCTGTCGGGGCGCATCGGGCGCGCGCTGGAGGCGACGCGGCGCGCGTACCCCGGCCTGCTGGAGCGCGACCCCGACCTGCTGTTCCTGCTCAAGTGCAGGCAGTTCGTCGAGATGGTCAACGGTTCCGACTCCGAGGTGACACACACACACAAACACACGCATACACGCACACGCGCATACGCAAACACGCACCCGCTCACGCACACGCACATACACACACACACACGCACACACACACACACACACACACACACCCACGCACACGCACGCACGCACACACACGCTCGCAAGTACACACACACGCGCACACACACTCGCAAGTACACACACACGCACACACACAAGCGCACACACGCACACACACACACGCGCGCACACACGCACTCACACACGCACACAAACGCACACACCCGCGCACGCACACGCGCACACCCGCACGCACACACGCGCACACCCGCACTTACACACGCATACACACACACACACACACACACACACACACACACACGCACGCACGCATGCACGCACATAAGCACGCACACACACACGTATACACGCACATACACATACGCATCCGCAGATACGCATACACACGCACACGCACACACATATACACATACACATACGCATATATATACACATACGCACGCACATACATATACGCACGAACATACACATACGCACGCACATACACGCATATACGCACGTACACATAAACATACACACACACATACACATAAATATACATACACACATATACATATACATATACACACGCACATACACACGGATACACATGCATGCGCGCACGCAAATTTTAACACATTTGTTTCGTGGATTTGCGATAGTATTATAAAGACCAATTCACATAATATATCAGTGAAGTCATAGTTCCGGCACTGTACTGCCATTGTGATTATTATTTTTCCGTACATTCGCTCTGAATGCATCTACGTTCCGCGAGATGCACTGGCTGGCGCGGTCATTCATGGCGCGCTTAGTTGATATACTTCGTACAATTGGAACGCGTTTCGCGGAACGTACTGTTCGGTGCGGTTATTCATGGCACGCGCGCAAGTCGTGCGTAATTAGTACGCGGCTTTAAGTTAACGATTTCTTGGTAGTGGATTCGTTTTTCCCCGAGATGTTATATGTCCTGTATTGATTGCAGGTGTGCGGCGACGGCGAAGAGGAGTCGGACGAGGAGGTGGAGGGTGTGGCGTGCGCGGGGGCGGGGGCGGGGGCGGGCGCGGCGGCGGGCGGCGCGCTGAACGGCGCGGCCGCGTCCGTGATCGCGCACACCGGGCCGCGCGCACACCGCGCCAACGGTAACGCTGCGCTTTGTTCACACAATAACAACAGACACTCCGCCCGGTGCCAAGCGGACACTGTGACCCATACACATCTACATCTATCCTCGATTGACAATCTAAATGCAGATGCGTTGTCACTTCTGAACACTAAAAGGGAACACTACGTTTTTAGTAAAAAAGGTCCATAATTTTCTACATCCACCATACATAACACAGCAACATTGAGCTGCTATTTTATTATTTGAGAACGTAATCTTTCCCCGGTCGAGCCGACCCGTTCATGCTAAAATGCAGCTTGGCTCTACCACATAAAATAACGTTACAGCCTATCAAAATTTACTACTGAACATAGATCTCTTTTACATTGCCTTATGGAGTAGACATTCACCATAATTGCCACACTTTACAAGTGAATTGGCTACCGCAGTTTTTTTTGTAGTTATTATTAAGAAGACCTTACTGTTCATCTCATAGTTCATTTCCTTCTATTAATTCTTATGACATCGCCGCCATCCGACGAAGAATGTGGCTCCAAATGATGGTTGTCCGGCATATTACGCCGTCCAAGTAAGAAGTTTTTTTTTATACGATAAGGGTGACAAACGAGCACACAGTCCACCTGATGGTAAGTGGTTACTGTGGCCCATAGACATCTACATCTATCTTCGATTACGAATCAAAATGCAAATACGTTGTCAGCCGTGAGGACTAAGATGGAATACCTCGTTTCCAGTAAATAGGGTCTCCAGTTCTCTACACTCATCATACGAAGCACAGCAGCGTTAAAGTGTTATTTTACGCTGGTATTCTGTGAGAGCGTGGTGCTTCCCCGGTCGAGCCGACCCATTCGTGCTACAACCATAATATAACTACAACATGGCCCTACCACGTACGAAATTACTTAAACGAAGCCCACCGTGACCAATAGATCGGCCGAATAGGGCTGTTATTGTGGCCACTAAAATCACTGATCTCAACCCATTAGATTTTTTTTATTGGGGCTGCCTGAAGGAGCAAATTTATAAAAAAACAATTGAAACAATCGACGAACTTAGCGTCACAGACGCAGCAAGAGTTATTTCAACCAAAAATTATCAAACACTTTTATAAAGATCGTTTGTAAAAAGTAGTAGAGCTAAAGATCGTTTGTAAAAAGTTGTAGAGCCTGCATAAGGGCAGGACGAGGCCAGTTCGAATATTTTCTGTAAATGATTTTAAATTAAAAATAAAATGGATATAACTCACTTTCGTTTCATTAATTGACGCATCTGTACATAATAGAACATGTCAAGTTTCACTGTTTATCTCGCTCACACAGCTTAGAATTCGTCCAAACACGGCGAGCAGGTAGTAAAGTAAAATTTTCAAGGGCGACTAATGTACTTACCTAATAAATACAAGCAATGTTTAAAAAAACTATCTGCCAATCATTTTGTAATTTTGAAATGAAATGCCTACTATTACACATTAACGGTTATAGCTCAGTAAATAATGACATTAAGTACATGATATGCTATTGTTTTAGAATCCTCATGGTGTAGCCAAACTTTTTAAATGGTTGGCCACACAGATCCCATACATTTTTCTTTCACCACAGGTGCTCAAACTTAGCAGGTAAATAAAGTAAAAAATTAAAACTTATGTTTAGGGCCGTCTTGTAAAATACTACCCATAGTAGGTGAAAACTTTTAAGAGTAATTTAGAAACATCATTATGAGGTAACACATGAAAAGAAAAAAATCCGATCTAGGCATTAAACTGCAGACGTGATGTCCAGAGATGTGAGCAGAAGTACGAATTTTCGGAATTTTATAAAACATGGCGTAGACCGCGAACCGTTCGAGATTCTTGAATTTTTTTTCAAGAACCAAGGCTACCTCCCCCCCTGCCCGAACACGTACGGACATTATCCACCATTACTGGGACAGCCTGTAGTATATATATATATATATATATATATATATATATATATATATATATATATATATATATATATATATATATATATATATATATATATATACTTTGTGTAATAATAATTATTTTTATCACAAACATGTAAAATATGATCATTGTCGACAACTTCAGGTGTAACAGAACTGAACGAGGAAACGCGCGATGGTGATGTGGATATGACGTCACCGACAAACGGCGAACACGCAGGTACAGAACATCTATTCTTTAGTTTATCAAGTGGATACGATTATTAAAGTAGATATAGGTATAGAAACGTAAGGGAAAGGGTTGCCACCGAAACTATACAATATTTAGATTCCTTCAAAGGTCTATAATTGTTATTGATTTTATAATAAATCAATGGCGTAATTGACAAATTAAGCAATTACGACGTTAAACTTGATTTTCCACTTTTTGACTTAAATATACATAAAGTAAAGTATATTTTAAATTTGATTACAAAAAAATATGAACTGGGTTGTTATTCAAATACAATTTCCATTCAACTCGTAACTACCCATGAAATACTAGTTATGTTAATAGCGTTCCTAATATTTGTTTTAAATCATTTTGACAATTCATAGTATTTCAATTGACATAAATGTCAACTACTGTATTAAAATTCCTGTTGTTAGATCAACAAATCTTGAATAATATTCCTAAATGTGTTATTTTAGTGTTTATTAGTAGTTGGTATATAATTAAAAAAAAAAAACACACACTTGATTACATTTCATCGAAAACTGTGGGGAATATATTATATTATGATATGATATTCGTATGTTATATTATTTGAAATAATTAAATTGTATAATACACAAGAAATTTAATTTTTTTCATACAAGTATTATTATAATAATTAATCTTTTAATTATAAAATTATATTAAGTTAATTTATAGATGTAAATATTTACTGTTTTAATTTACAGTTATTTATTATTTGCACACCATTAATCATAATCGAGATTATTTTCAAACCATCGACATTATATTTATTTTTTTATCATTAATCATCATTATATAATTTTATTTGCCGTTGCTTTTTAGTTTTGCATGGAATTATATGATAATATTTATTTTAAAGTGTCTTAGTATTTAAATGTATAACAATGAATATGAAAACATCAATCTATAAATATCTATTTAACTATATAAGTTATAAGGAACTATATATTATTAGGTTTAACAAGCTAGTCAAACAAATTGTTAATAGCCAGTAGCTTAGAATAACTTACTTTATTGGTCGAATATTTAAACGTTGCTTTAACATGTCGTTAAGTTATGTGCTGTCACAGTCGCTTTGACTTAAAGTGATAGAGACAGCAAGAGGCTTAACGGCATGTTAAAATTTAGCAGCGTTTGAGTATTTGGGCATATATTACGTAGTTTAAAATAAAAAATTACCATATTTCATTAAGTAGTGGTTTATGGAATGTTTATCATTGATAGAATATGATTTTTTCTAAGTCAGAGCCTGTCATGCTAAAGTAGTAGCTAATTACTTGCATTAAAGTTTAATATTGAATAGTTAACATTTTGCGATTATGACTTTGGCTGAATTAGACTAGTACTAGGGTTGCATGACTTAGTATTAATTTGTATGCCTGTTTCTCATCGTTCATTCATCACTGAGCGTTCACCATTCGGTCGTATCTCGCTTATTTTGATTTATTTTTAATTTTGCTTGGATCCATGGCTAAGGCATGAAATATTTGACGCGCAAGTGGAACTATTTATATTTATTCGGTTCGCACTTGTGCTTCAAAGCTTTACTTTTAAATTATGTCATAGTGACTACACATTATTGTGTATTATGTGCAAAAGATGTGGCGTGTGCACGGTTCCATTGCGTGTTACACCTCTCGATAAACGCATTTCAAGCAAAGTTAAAATTGACGGAGAGAATAATTACCGTTCATTTTATTGGTGTCAAAGTGATTTACGATTTTTTTTATGAAATGTGCACACGTCACCGGCATACTGGCATACAGCTGCCGCAGAGTTAGAGTGATTGTGAAACGGTGGTCTCGAATGTTTAGATTGATCGGTAGCGCTATCTGTGCGGTTCTAGTGAGATCTGCAGTTAACTTTTTGAATTGAAAAGTTCTTTACAATCGTTGTGATTTGAAACTCGATGAAAAGAAAAAAAAACAGCCAAGTGGAAGTCGGCCTCGCACATGAAGGGTTCCATGCCATCGTAAAACACGTTTCTAGTAGGGGAGCCCCCTTTAATTTTTAATTAATTTTTATTTTTATTATTTTGTTGTCATAGCGGCAACAGAAATACACATTCTGTGAAAATTTCAACTATCTACCTATTACGGATAATGCCCGCTGACAGACAGCGTAGGCAGGGTCCCGTTGGTTACCTTTCAGTTCGGAACCCTAAAAGTGACATTAAAAACAGACAAAGGTATACATTTATAGGATTAACCCGCAAGAGAATGAGATAGAATATAGTATATAAAGTTTATTATAAATTTATTTATATTTTAATTACATAATACCTACAATTATGCTACTCCTGACATTGCATTCGTCTCATTCTCTCGAAGTTTAGTTTTCTGAAAGTCACTTCTACCGCGCCTACTGCACACGTGTTTTTTATTATGTACCTATATAATATTAAACATTGAATAATACTTATTGTAAACTTAGTGAGCAAGATTTTTTGAGACAATTCATTCAAAGATTTTATGGCGTTTAATCTACTTATTTTTTATATTCCTGATGTTCAGTTTACATCGCACACATTATGTACGCGTAGGCATTTTATTTTAAAGTTTTTATTTGAGCCAGTACATGTAAGGATGCCAAGGTCTCGTGTGCTAACACACCTAACATTTGTAAACATTATAATAATAAACATCTTTAAATGTCTGAACAGATTGTCTACAAACATAGCTAAGAACACTCTTGATTAAGACACCTTTCAAACGAAAAGAACTAAATCAAAATCGGCTCATCCGTTCAGGAGTTTGATGCCACAGACAGACACACATATACATAGGTATACAGATACACACTACAAACATATAAAACCCTTCTGTTTTCATCGGGGGTTAAAAAGGTACAGTAAGCTCATTGTGTGTAAATCGAATCAAAATTAAATGCTGAAGGCAAATATGACATAAGGATGTCAAACACTTTACTATCAGTATCTTGATTATGTGTGCTGTAAAGTACTAGAGAAGATGGAAAGTTAAAAAAGTAAATTAAACTTAATGACTTCTTATGTTTACGTGGCGAACACACATTGAATGAAACTAGTTTTTACGGATTTTATTAACTTATTTTAGGTTCTTTCATTGTCATGGAGGGTAATTACGGAGGTGCTATGGGTGCTGTAAAGTACTCGAAACGTCAGGAAAATAAAAAACAGTTTATAAAACGCGATAAAATCCTTAAAAACTATATTCATTCAACAATTAAACATGACAAATTATATCAACAATTTTTTGAATACCGCGTTATGGTACAAATGTACCGACATTCTGTCATTCGAGACTACCGTTATGAAGTAGCGTACGGTGTGCTGGGTGAGTTGATGGTGAGTTGATGGTGAGTTGATGGTGAGCTGGTGGTGAGCTGGTGGTGGGCGGCTGGTTGTAGGTCGCGAGCTGCCGCTTGTGAAGGGCATGCCCGGCGTGACCGCGAGCGTCGCCGCGCTGCTGCCGCGCCGCCAGGGTGCGTATCCGTGCCGTATCCGCGCCCTTTCCGTACCATATCACTACCGTATCCGTGCCATATCCGTGCCGTGTCGGTGCCATATCCATGCCGTATCGGTACCATATCCGTGCCGTGTCCGTACCGTGTCTGTGTCATTTCCGTGTCGCACTCACACCGCGTGACTGCCGCGCTTTTGTGGACCTTATAGTACATAGTTCTCTAATATATACTATAAATATAGTTCTCTTATATCTACTGCTAACGAATTCCGTTTTTTTTTTTCATCAAATAGCTCGTCGCTTTCTCCTCATCCACTTAAGCTTCTAAAAATCTTTGAACATTGAACCTTTCTATTCTATAAGAGCTGGAGACAAATCTGCGATGGTATCATCTACGGCACTGCTCTATTCTTTACATCTTGCATTTATGTAATGGGTATATCTATCGGGTTATTAGTTCGATCTGAACTGACTTAACTTATACTTTAACTTTTTATACATTTTTATAATTTTCTATAGCGTAAACAACGTAGAAAGTAATTTTGTCCATGAGCGACGGGACATTTACCATCAGGTGAGCTGGATGCTCGTTTGTCTCCTCTTTTATATATAAAAAAAAAACTTTATTAATCCCGCTGATCGGTTATCATTGTTCACCGAAAATTAAAGACTGTAAAAAATTTCTGGGAACGATGCCAGCAGGACCAAATGGTGTTACAGATTCTCTTACAATACTCATTACTCATTAGTGCTTTATTCCTTTACGAATCCCTCGCTGTTGCTTATATTAACTTATTGTTTTAATGAAGAGAAATGCTCTAAAGACATATTCAATAATTGATCCACCCAAAACCGTGGCATTAACTCGTTATAACGGGATGAATTTTTGAAAAAAAAAATCTTTAAAAAAATGGTTCGAGGTTAACACGCGATACGGATACGGTACGACATGGACGACGGCCATCATTGCGATTAGTTTGTGCCATTAACGCCACCTGTATTTGGCTTCTAGCACGCAATCCTACTATTAAAAACAACTCTGTCTGTCTTTATAATACTTATAATTATACATATAATTATTTCCTCGCCTCATTTGTCTATTTTTGATGTCTTTCCATTTTTAGTCTCCTTTAGATTTTGGTAACTTTCCTATACCATTTTAAAACTATCATAATCCGTTGCTCCGATGGTAATCGATTTTGGTATGTCCCAAATATTTTAATATTCTTCTTTCCCTGAATACGATAACATGTGTCTTAAATCAAATTTAGTTTCACAACAACGTACTAGTCAGTTTAATCTACGTTTATAGATTTATATTATTAATTTGTATGACTACCCTCACGTCTGAGCGGCGTATTATGTCACCATTCACTCATAAACAACACTATCTACCATTCTATGCCTATCGCTTACAACATAAGCTTAATGTAAAAGGTTTCGACGTTGTCACGTAAGATTTCGTAAGTATCTATATTATAATTTTGCATTTGTTTGCACGTAAGTTTAGTAAGTACTTCATAGTAGTATTGTTAACTTGTGATCATTTGGTCTAGTTACTAAAATTTAAAAGTTCAAATGCACGTCGTACAAAAATTACTATCTTATTTTCCATTCGTTTTTCTTTTTGTGTGCGTGCATCTAAAGTGAGTGGGTTGGTGGTTTTTAGGGTTTTCTAAATATAGTGTTGCATGTGCTTTGAATTGGGTTTGGTATATATTACATATGTTTACGGACGGGCTTAAAAATTAAACCGTTTTGTGCAGAAATGATCTAACCCACAAAATAAAGTTTTTCAGATTTTATTATGTTACGTATATTACGCACTATTATATTATGTTACGTATATCACTTTGTAGAAAATTGAATGTAGATTTTGGGATTACTTGTCATTTTTCAGATGTTGTTCATACTTGGAAATAAACTGAAAAAAGAGCCTCTGGATCGTTAATTGGCCTGTTTTTGGGTTAGATAATTTCTGCACAACATGGTTCAATTAAAATCCAAACATAATCAGATGATTTCGGTAATTAAATGTTGGTTGTGAATAAAATTTTAATTTAAATGTTATAATAAATATTTTAATAGGTTATTGATTATAGGATAAACACTTCCTCTACTGAACTTAGGCCTCCCCCATAGATTGCCTCGTAGGAAGGATATTTGCCATAGTTGCCATGTTTGGCAAGCGGGCTGGCAACCGCAGTTTTGTAATAAAGTTCTTTATCGGACGGTACGGATTTGGCGGATGGGGGCTAAGCGACGAAAAGTGTAAGATTTTTCCGTCACGACCCCTTCTGACGTAATGTAGACGGCCTTAGCGGCTATAAGGAAGCGAGATGGAATAATATCCATCTCCCTCGCACTTTTTCTTATCTTGCCATGAAAGAAATATTATTTTATTTTAAATGACGGTTCATTTTAATAAATGCTAGTAATTCATTTATTTGTATTTGTTAATCAATAAAATAATACGTTAATCAATAATAATATACTACGAAAGGAACTTCGTTCCAACCGAGTGTTCCACGACTCACACGTTATTAGGAAGCCGCTGCTGCCCATCTCCCGAATTGTTTCCCTCTGTCGCCTCTTACTACACCCACGGGATGATATGGGGTAGTGGCTATTCTTACACCGCAACTACACGGCAGTTGTTAGAGTCTTCAGTCACAAATAAGTGGACTGATTGATCACATTGTAAGTTATTAGTTTAGGCAAACATAGTTTGGGACGACGCTTGACTAAATAGAGCGACGACCTCTGCGAGGTGGCTGATAGAAACCGAATGTGTATTACCGAACATCGGGCAAAGTGGCTCGCCTTAGGGGAGGCTTATCTCCAGCAGTAGACTACCGCAATGATGATGATGATGATGAAAAAGAGCGACCGTGTAAACTGCGTCGGTCGCCGCTTATTAAGTACTACCCGCAAGCCTTGTACTTAATTATTTATCTACTAACCACCTTTCTCCTAAAATGTACGTCAGTTTAAGGAATGCTTGAACTTGTTCTCTCTCGATTCACTAAATAACAATAGAAAGTGACAGATATATGGAGTAATTAATATCTTACTTAAGTGAGCGATGATCACCGATTTTATCTGGTCGTTTGTATTTAAATTTATCGGTTTCGCCTTACGTCATTGCGGACTGTTTCTGCAACTGTTATAACCCTGTGCTTTGTAAAAAATACAAGTGTTAGTTCCATAATCAATGACTATGCGATCCAAGTGGAACAATACTTGGTGCAAATTAAATCTTCGTTGAATTTATAAATATTACATCGATGTAGACTAATAGGCTGTAACGATTCATTATATATTTTAAAAATGTTGCTTTAAGAGTTGTTGTTAATAGAAAACTTTAAATTTTCAGTTCAGCGGTGTAAGAATATGTTTGGATATGGAGGTTGATTTACATTTTGTAATAAATAATTTCAAAGTTGTTCTCTCAAGGGTAACTATTAAAGTGCTCGTAGATTCAACAATGATATAAAAATTAAATACTGAGCCTCATGCGTACGTACGTATATATTATCATTTGTAAAATGAAAACTTTCTTTTCAACGAAGTGTATGTATGTGATGATGATGTAAATCAACCTTGCCCTATTCTATCTAAAACATTTGAACAATTTTATAATGTTATTTTTATCGCTTTATGCTATATATGTGTAATATTTTAATATGTTCTTTTATAGTATGTATAACGTAAGTATGTATATATCTATCTCCGTAAATATCGTAATTATTCAATTCTGTATATTTGACCGTGATGGTCTCTATGCTTTTATATTTCTGTTATGTATATTACACAGATATTTGCACATTGTATTTTTATGTATATTCTGACTTATGCTGCTATATAATCTGTTAACCAAGTCACTATTCTGAGAGTTTGTCCTTGTAATCACTATTTTACTAATTTTCTTACGAAAAAATTGTGATTTTTTAAATAGTAAAGATTAATAAGATATAAGAGAGTTGATTAGAATTTTATAATTAATCAAAGGTTAAAAAAGGTTCGTATCCCGCACGTATCATGTATTTGTATGGGCTACAAATAATTCTTCCGGGTCTGGATGTTTTTCCTTGTGCTATTTATGTTTGTGCCTCCACAATACAGCAGAACATCCTAGTGTGGGGATAAAGTCTTTTAAATTAAAAATATAGTGATAGTTACAATTATAGACAAACATTATATGCAATAATAGTGCACTTCTAAATAAGAACGTTGATTTTTTAAAAAAATTGATAATCCAATTTTTTAACTTACATTCACTATATTTAAATGTGTGTTTCGTTTGTAAAACAATCGTCACTTTAATTTCACCACTTCCTAGTGTAGATGTTGGGAGTAGAGGTGACGGAGATTGGGCACGAGGTGCTATTCAAACTAGGTAAGACACATTGAGTTATATGTACTACTTACTAGAGAAACCATTCTAAACAAAAAATGTGCAGTACTCTATGTCTTGGCGCATGCGCGGGAGATAGTAGAGTCGCGCATACGCAGTTGCGCCACCACAGACTATCTAGTAGATTGAAACCACACTAAATGACACACTGTACGGATTGCAGTACAGTTCAGTTGAACATAGTATATGTTCGGAATGCGCAATCTAGTACGTAGTACATATATATCGATGGTAAGACATCATTTTATTAAATTGCGAGGATCTTAGCTGATTAATTTTTAACATATTTAACACTCAGTAAACGTCATAAGTGTTCAAGTTGATTGCCGATTATTTTACCAACGGTGATCGGGTGGTGAAATACAAAAACCAATATTTATCAGGGCTCCGCTGAAAACCAGCGTTGCTGCACATCTGCGGTAGCATGTGCTGAGTCGGAATCCTTTTTAGCATCACATCACACACAGAAAGTAATTTTCTTGCTGGTATTTATCTTATTTATGTTTCCCTTTTTGTACCTTGTATGTTTTTTTATATTAATGTAAGTGTATTGATTTCAATAAAACATGTCTATGTCTATCTATGTGTCCGATGGTAGAGGGTGCGGGGTGGTCGCGTGCTTCGGTGGAGCGAATGCTGGCGTTCGGGCGCGAACTGTACGCCATGAGCCAGCGCCTGCAGCACGACGTCTACCACAAGGCCATGCTGGAGGTGAGCCCGTGCGCTAACTACACCTGAGTCGACCATTTATTTACCATTTACTTTATCTTTAACATTCATCATCATCATTGCAGCCCTTCACAAGTACACTGCTGAACATAGGTCTCCTCCAGAGAATGCCACAAAGCACGGTCCTGAGCCACTTGCATCCATCGATTTCCTGCATGTCTTACCAGGTCGTCACACCATCTAATGGTGTGGGGGGGGGGGGGGGGTTACCCTACATTTCGCCTAACCGTACGAGGCTGCCTCTCGAGCACTTTGGTATGGCTCGCGTATTGTGGAACTACAGCGAGCGCTAAACTACCATTGTTCTCAATGGACAATATGGCCAAACATTAACAATATAATGTAACACATTTTTTTATAGAATAAAGGTAACAAACATGAAGCAAATATAAAGAGGAGACGGCATATTCAACTGTGCACTGTGATTCTAAGTAGGTCCTGACGTCATCATAGTGGGCGTGGCTTTAGTTAGTATACTGTCAGCACTCGTCCTGTGCGCTTATGTGTTGAAAATCGCAAATCGGTGTATTTTCGTAGTATTAAGAGGAAAAGGATGAAGTGTTGTATTTTATCGTGTAAAAACTACTCAGATAGACGCTCTGATGCTATGGATGGCATCACATTTCATTTGTAAGTAATTTTAAACCTAATTTATTAAAATAGTTCTAGAAAAATCTCTTTCCGTCGGCTTTCAAATATAATTAAATATATTCGACACTAGATGGCGACACTTTGTGTCATGTGAACTAAAAATATATAGGAACGTAGAGCTCAGTATTGGTAAAATAATCATACGAAGTTGCTGAAATTTGTTTTGCATTCAGACAAAGAAATTTTAATCGCCAAAATGTTATTTTTATAGTTTATAATCATTTTGTGAACATACCGCCATCTACCGTCTAGCTAGCTAAACTACATTGCAACATCGATATGGAACGATTCGAATAGTTTTACTATTTATCGGTAGATGTAGATGGTGTAAATTGGGCGGGGCTTTGCATCTCCTCACCCCGCAAATTGTCACGCGTTGTTACATAGTGAAACTTAATTAGAACGTCTCCTCTTTATATTTGCTTCATGGTAACAAACGAACACACAGTCCACCTGATGGTAAGTGGATTCTGTAGCCCATAGATCATTAGACATCTACATCTATTCCTGAATCAAAATTCAAATGTGTTGTCAGCTCTGACGATTAAGATAGAGTGCTTCGTTACCAGTTAAAAGGGTCACAGGTTCTTGGTCAAGAGGTATGTAAGGATCGTGACACTTGGCGATCTGTTCTCTCTGGCTACCCCGTCAGGGATTGTGCGTGAAGATAAGTAAGTAAGTAAGGTTCTTTACACTAACTATATGAAACACAGGAGCGTTTAGCTACTATTTTACGCTGTTGTTCTGTGAGAGCGTGGTCCTTACCCAGTTGATCCGACCCATTCGTGCTACAACCATAATACAATTGCAACATGGTATAATACAGGCAGGCAAATTGATGATTTAAATACCAAATCTTTGACACAGTTGCTTGTCGCTGTTCTGGATGTTTTACGGCTGGAGTAAAAGAGATGGTCATACCCATCGAAAGCTTTAAAATCTTTGTTATTCCTATAAACGCCTTTTATGAAAAATACTGGACGAAATGGGCTGATGAGCTCCTTTATCTCACTATATATAAAATATTATATTTTAATACTACATAAATTGCTTTGCACAGATGGCTAGTTTCCGATGAGACTGGCCGCCGTGATCGAAATTCGATCTACAACACATTATATTACTAAAAAAATGTTAATATGTTGTATCAAATTGCGAAGTTTCTCAGACGTAATTCAGACGATTTTGTGTCAATGGCTTCCACATTGAGGGCAGAATAATATGAGCGTAGAATGCTATGAGGGTAGAATGATATGAGCGTGGAATGCTACGAGGGTAGAATGATATGAGCGCAGAATGCTATGAGGGTAGAATGATATGAGCGTGGAATGCTATGAGGGTAGAATGATATGAGCGTAGAATGCTATGAGGGTAGAATGATATGAGCGTGGAATGCTACGAGGGTAGAATGATATGAGTGTAGAATGCTATGAGGGTAGAATGATATGAGCGTGGAATGCTACGAGGGTAGAATGATATGAGCGTAGAATGCTATGAGGGTAGAATGATATGAGCGTAGAATGCTATGAGGGTAGAATGATATGAGCGTGGAATGCTACGAGGGTAGAATGATATGAGCGTAGAATGCTATGAGGGTAGAATGATATGAGCGTAGAATTCTATGAGGGTAGAATGATATGAGCGTGGAATGCTATGAGGGTAGAATGATATGAGCGTAGAATGCTATGAGGGTAGAATGATATGAGCGTGGAATGCTACGAGGGTAGAATGATATGAGCGTAGAATGCTATGAGGGTAGAATGATATGAGCGTAGAATGCTACGAGGGTAGAATGATATGAGCGTGGAATGCTACGAGGGTAGAATGATATGAGCGTAGAATGCTATGAGGGTAGAATGATATGAGCGTGGAATGCTACGAGGGTAGAATGATATGAGCGTACAATGCTATGAGAGTAGAATGATATGAGCGTAGAATGCTATGAGGGTAGAATGATATGAGCGTGGAATGCTACGAGGGTAGAATGATATGAGCGTAGAATGCTATGAGGGTAGAATGATATGAGCGTAGAATGCTATGAGGGTAGAATGATATGAGCGTGGAATGCTATGAGGGTAGAATGATATGAGCGTAGAATGCTATGAGGGTAGAATGATATGAGCGTAGAATGCTATGAGGGTAGAATGATATGAGCGTAGAATGCTATGAGGGTAGAATGATATTAGCGTAGAATGCTACGATGGTAGAATGATATGAGCTTAGAATGCTATGAGGGTAGAATGATATGAGCGTGGAATGCTACGAGGGTAGAATGATATGAGCGTAGAATGCTATGAGGGTAGAATGATATGAGCGTGGAATGCTACGAGGGTAGAATGATATGAGCGTAGAATGCTATGAGGGTAGAATGATATGAGCGTGGAATGCTACGAGGGTAGAATGATATGAGCGTAGAATGCTATGAGGGTAGAATGATATGAGCGTAGAATGCTATGAGGGTAGAATGATATGAGCGTGGAATGCTACGAGGGTAGAATGATATGAGCGTAGAATGCTATGAGGGTAGAATGATATGAGCGTAGAATGCTATGAGGGTAGAATGATATGAGCGTGGAATGCTACGAGGGTAGAATGATATGAGCGTAGAATGCTATGAGGGTAGAATGATATGAGCGTAGAATGCTATGAGGGTAGAATGATATGAGCGTGGAATGCTACGAGGGTAGAATGATATGAGCGTAGAATGCTATGAGGGTAGAATGATATGAGCGTGGAATGCTACGAGGGTAGAATGATATGAGCGTAGAATGCTATGAGGGTAGAATGATATGAGCGTAGAATGCTATGAGGGTAGAATGATATGAGCGTGGAATGCTACGAGGGTAGAATGATATGAGCGTAGAATGCTATGAGGGTAGAATGATATGAGCGTAGAATGCTATGAGGGTAGAATGATATGAGCGTGGAATGCTATGAGGGTAGAATGATATGAGCGTAGAATGCTATGAGGGTAGAATGATATGAGCGTAGAATGCTATGAGGGTAGAATGATATGAGCGTGGAATGCTACGAGGGTAGAATGATATGAGCGTAGAATGCTACGAGGGCAGCATGCTAAGAGGGCAGCATGCTAAGAGGGCAGCGTGATATGAGGGTAGAATGAATAGGAGGGTAGACTTGAGGTTAAGAGGGTGTGTGTATCCAGGACGCGTTCAGCCTGTTGGCGTACAGCAATCCGTGGGACAGCCCGGTGGGCTGGCAGCTGGAGCCTGTGCGACGAGAGGCCGTTTGCGAGGCGCTCAACTCCGCCATATTGGGTACGTGCACGTGTACAAACTTAATATATTATTAAAAACTCTTTAAGTATTTCAAATTATAATATTTATATGGATACATTTTAATCTAAAATATGGATCTACATCATAACATAAATTAGCTTTTTCAAATTAATGTTTCTTTTTATTAAATTTCGACTTTCCCATAACTAATTCAATGAAAGTTATGATCTTTTTAATATATTAGAAAATAATTATAGAAATTAATAATGGTGGAATCTAGTGACTTATGGAACAGGTAATGTTACATACTTTTATTCATTACGTTTATAGTTTAATATGTTTGTCAACAATAATTGTGTATCTGTTTGTGTGGACAAAATAAATTTAAATATAAAATTTATCCTGTTCTATTTCTAGCCAATTTTAAAATTAGAAGAACTTTTCAATTGGATTGTATTTTTTTATTTACGTAACGCTCTTATTTCATTTATTGTTTACTTCTTTATGCTCTTGTGTCTGTATTTCTATATTTTTTTTTGACTTTTAATAGGGAGTAATGAATTAGTAATGATTAGAAACCTAAATATTAGTGTAAGCCTGAGTTAACTAAAACATATAAAGATGTGAGTGAACGTGTGGTTCCGCAGAATCGCTAGGCATGCAGTCAGTAAGATGCTGCTATCTATCTATACTTACCTATGCTGTTACATGTTTAGTCGTGGAGTTTTGATTTTTGATAGAGGTCTTTTTATAATAGAATAATGGTAACAAATGAATGAGCACACAGTCCATCTGATGGTAAGCGGATACTGTGGCTTATAGAAATTTACAGCTAACCTCGATTAAGAATCAAAATACACATGCGTTGTCACTCCTGAGGACTAAGACCTTGTCCAGAAAGGGCGAATTCGCCGCGATTCTCTCGCGCGTATTACGCGCGACCGTTGCGTCCACAAGGTGCCAACGCGCGAGCATTTGGGGAGGAATTCAGTACGAAACATGAAGTTGAACGAAGCGTTCACGTTGTGGTTAGGTTACCGTCGCTGGAAGAGAGAGAAACGGAGGGAAAATAGAATGTATTTAGTACATCCAATTCTTAATGATAGAATGACACATAGTATGTTTGAAACTTTGTATCCGAAATTAAGACAACATGAGAAGAAAATTTTTAACTACTTTCGTATGTCCGTGAAATCATTTGATGATTTACTTTTATTAATTGATGAAGATTTATCGCCATGTGCAAATTATGTTCCGCGCAAGGATGTTGTTTCAGCAGAACAAAAACTCGTGATAACTTTAAGGTAAGTATTGTTTTATTCATAATCTTTTATAATACTAATACAGTATTTTAGGATACAAAATCAGGTTTACTAATAAAAACGAATCAAATGTAGTATCAGATTAAATATAATAATTAAACAATGTCATGGTTTTGGAAGAGGTCAAGACATTCACTATCCTGAGAATCTGTTGATGATGTTGATGGAGAATTTACGTATAATACTGCCTGTGAAGATCTTGGCACTGAAATAGAATTTCGGCCTTGCCATGCTGTTATGCATGGCGTTTCTGGGTCATATTCTTCAAAAGTAAATTTATTTAGTCTTGAAGGTTGTGCATGGTATCGTGGTAGAACCGGAATTGAAGTTGAAGATGAAGCCGAACTGTTAGAAAAGTACGAATACGAATCGTTTGAATACACAGTTGATTGCGAAGATTGTTGAGCCGCTTGCAAAATTTTCATTTATTCAATTTTTACTGCTATACGATTGGCCTCAAGTACCTTAAGTAATCCTTTGTATAAAGATAAACAGAACAGTTTGTCATCATCACCTTCCGTTATGGTGGAAACCAGTGGTTGTTGTTTTCGGCAGTCATTTTCTTTCTTTTAATGTTTTGATTCGGCGGCCTCATTATGTCTTCCCTTGCATCTGCTGTAGACTCTTCGTTACCTGTCTCTGAGTTTTCAGAGGTGTCTTGAATATTGCTTTTTGTTTTTTTATTACGTACTGACCTTTCGAGAAACATAAGACGTTGAAAATATATATATTGAATCTTCGAAGCTCCAGATCCTGATGGTGCATTCTTTGTTTTTTTTCATTTCACGAACAAATGTGTCGCGAAAGCCTTGCCACTTTTTTTGAAGAGTATTACCTAAAATTAAAAAAATTATAATAATTTTTGCATTGGAGCAGTTGATGGCAAACATATTAGAATTATAAAACCTTTAGATTCCGGCTCAATGTTCTACAATTATAAACATTTTTTTTCGACTGTGCTCCTTGCCGTATCTGATGCAAATTATTGTTTTATTTGTATAGATGTTGGAGCATGTGGGAAGAACAATGATTCAACGATTTTTAAAAACTTCACATTCTTCAAAAAACTTACGGAAATATCTTTGAACATTCCGAGACCAAAACCAGTATCAGAAATTCGTACGACACGTTTACCTCATGTTATTGTTGGAGATGAGGCATTTAGCTTATCAGAAAATATTATGCGACCATATTGCGGCAAGAATTTAACCAAAGAAAAACGAATTTATTTAATTACCGCCTCTCTAGAGTAAGACGTTATATTGAGTGTTGTTTTGGAATCCTGGTAAACAAATGGCGAATATTTCACAAACCACTCAATGTACATATTGAATTCGCGCAAAACATAATTAAAGCTTGTTGTGTTCTTTACAATTACGTCAGGTTAAGAGATGGATACAGATACGAAGACACATTGTTCGAAACAGCTTTAGATGGTCTGAGTACGACTACAATTCGACCTGGTGTAAGGTCTCGAAACACGAGGGATATATTCGCTGATTATTTCATGAAGGAAGGTCAACTGCCGTGGCAAGACAAAATGATCTAATTTTCTTTGTTTGTTAGTAATCAATAAAATAATAATAATTACTTACCTAAATCCTTCTTTTTTTCTTCGGAGTCTTCTTTATCAGAAAAAATTAACACCAATTCTTCCCAAGACCTACGTTTTAAAATCCTATTGGCATAATCAGGTGATTCCAAATCCCATATCGCCGGTCTTTTTTCTATTTCGTCTATAAACAATTCCGTGTCAAAATTTTGGCGTCCAATTTCCCTCGATACGTGCACTCGGTCTAGAGTTCGCGCGTTAATTGGACGCAACAAGGCGTCCCTAGTATCTCGACTCGCGCGCAATACGCGCGAGTCAAGCGCGAGTCGAGAGTCTGGCGTAGTGCACGCGATTTACGCGCGTATTTTGAATTCGCGCGATGTTTGTGGACGCGACGTATTGATGTCAAGTACCTCGACAACGCGCGTATGAATTCGCGCGATACGATTCGCGGCGAATTCGCCCTTTCTGGACAAGGCCTAAGATGGAATGCCTCGTATCGAGTAAAATGGTTTTCCGGTTCTCTACACCATACGAAACACAAACATTAAGTTGCAATTTTATGCTGGTATTCTGTGTGTTTGTGTAATGAATGAATGAGTAAAAATTTAAATGACAAATGTAGGCTTGATTGAGTACAATATACAAATGGCCAAATATTCAAACGCTACTCAGTTTTAAGATGTCGTTAAGTGTCGTGGTGTCACTGTCACTTTGATCTAAAGTGATAGAGACAACACGAGACTTAACGGTATCTTAAAATTGAGTAGCGTTTGGAGTATTTGGACAAAAGAAGTGAGTGCGAGGTGTGGTGGTGGTCGGGCAGAGTCGCAAGGCATGCAGTGGATCTCGCCCGTGGAGGCGTGCGTGGCGCACTCGCGCGACCTGCTGCGCCGCATGGCGCGCGCCGCGCTCGGCGCCTGCGCCTTCGCCGACCTGCCGGCGCTGCTGCGCCGCTGACCGCGCCGCCGCCACGCGCGCCACGCCCGCCACGCCCGCCACACTCGCCACAAGCGCTGCACCTACCACACGTGCCACGCACGCCACGCACGCCGCAGCCGCCACTCACCGCGTTGACAGCGGCACCGTTTACCTCGCCGTAAGCACACCTCCCGTACCATACATCTATTCCACTAACCAATTCTTACACACTTGCAACGAATATTCGACTATTGTTCGGTATTCGCCATATGCGACCACTTTTTATCCTTTTTGGCCGAATACCGAATACTCAAACAACTTTTCTTGTAGTCAGATAATTGGCAAAATGAAAATATTAATTCCTTTTGATAAATAATATATTTTCGTTGTAATCACTAAAATAGTCATAGATACATAATCGACTTTCATCTTATAAAAATTAACAAAGAACTGTCAGATAATACACTTGAAATATCGTAATTAAAATTTACAAGTGAAAGATAATAATACAAAAATACTAATTTTTCTGCATTTTTAGGCAGTAGTTTTCTTATTGTAAACAATCCTAACTTTAGAGAAAAGACGCTCTAAATAAACACTACTTCCTTCCTGACCGAATACGGTATTCGGCTTATGACCGAATATAGTATATTCGTTGCAAGTCTACTAACGACTATACCCGATACGGATTTTGATCGACCGTAACAATAACTTAACTTTGTTAAATTGTTATTTGTGACGCAATCAAAATAAATCATGGAGTATTACTAGAACTCAACGATAATTACATCCACGACTTTCACTGCCACCAGAGCGGCGCCACTTGGAATAAGACCAAATGAAAATTTGACATATTCATAGCGGGAAAGTTAATAGGAAAATGTAACAACTAATTATTCTTTCTGTAATGTTAGTTATATTTATAATAATCCGATTACAAATGAATAAACTAAGCTACAAATATTCTTTAAAGTAGAAATATTACAATTACTTTAAAATGTGCAAAAATTAAAGAGCAAACTACTGAGACATTATGTTTTGCGATGGCAACTGATACAATTTTATTCAAAACTAACTTTTCAATTAAATGGCAACACACAGTTGACAAAACACGTTCCCAACTAGCGACATCTGGTGAGCGGAAAATTATTAGCCCTGATTGAGCTACGGTACTAGGACGTACTTCTAGTATTCGAAAGAGTTTCTATTGTACTCTAAAATCTGTTGGCATGTGATGCGTCCTCGGCCGATCAGTTCCATCCTTGATGCAGTAGCAAAGCTTTAGTGTGATTCTACAAAGTTTACGTACGTTAATAAAAAAGTTACGGTCGATCGTTGCCTTATAATACTCGATGTAAAACTAAATAGACAACACAGTATCTATATAATGAATATTAAATTGTCATTATGAAAAACACTAAAATTGATATGATCTACGTCTCGTATTCATCCATCCGACCGGATACAACTTATAGAATTATAAAAACACTAATAACTAAAGATCTGTGATCAAAATTAATATGTAAGCCTAATCAAGCCTGTAATCAAATTGTGCGCTACTTAAGTAACACAAAAGTTCTCTCAATTGTTAATATTAACGTTATACTTATTGCTGTGTCGCTACTTAATTGTATCTCTAAAAGTAGTTAACGTGTTTATTAAATTTAATAATTTGTAAAGTTGATACCCTAATTGTATTTCAACAACAATATCGGCAAACCTACGGTCCTTTGTTACTCTTGACTCAAATTCTGGCGTGTGACTACGAAATTTGTACCATAATACATGGATTGTATTGTTGACAATGATCGTAATTAGAAACCTTGCTAAAATGTTAGAGAAAATTATGATATCTATTTTTGGGGCAATCCATAAAATACGTCACGCAAAATGAAAATGCACCCATTTTTGACCCCCTCTTTCACCCTTGTCAATCAGAATTATATTCTTTTGACTTTCTCTCGAAATTCATGCTAATTTGATGGATAAAAAATGGAAATTAACCTCTCCACCTTTTTGGGGATGTATTTTTGGACGGTCCCTTCCATTATATAATTAGTGTAACATTAAAAAAGTGTGTGTGTGTTTGTGTGTGTACTTATGTACGCACGTACGTAGTTATACTTCTTTAGTGTAACAAAACAAAAAAAATACTTGAGACAATTACCCACTGAAGTTGTCGCAGTTGTGTCAGTGTGCGCGCGTATCGTAACAACTTCATGGTGTCGTTTTTAGGTGTCTGTGTAAAGAATTCACTCTCATCATTTTTCCTAAACGCCCCAAAAGAAGTATAACTTAAAAAATAGACAATAATTATAAACGTTTACACTGTGCCATTACTCTTATTTGGGTTTCTCATCAATCGCGACTTGTTCATTATATATGTGACTTTTGTAATTATGTTTAATGAGTTTATATGTCTGTGTGTTACTATTTAAAATAGAAACTGTCCTAAATATAAATGATTATTGAACGGGCCCTGTACCTTTTATATATTTATAAATAATCGGATTTTAATATCAATGAAGACTTGTGTATAAAATTGTAACGCACATTAATGCCTTAGAGAGTTCATTGAGTGTGACGAATGCATCGAAGTAGATTTCGTTTGGAATTTGACAAATGTGAGGGCTTGGCTTTGAGGTGTTTGGTTTTCTCATTAAAGTGAAATTTCTGTTTATTTAATACTTATGTTGTTTTATATAATTTAAATTAAAAATAATACTTGTTCGTGTCAGTTATAATTCCATTCGTTAGTTTCTAATACAAACATGATTGGTTAAATTGTACTTCATATGAAATTTAAAGCAATTTATTTCTTTTTGTATAGACAATAGTGTTTATTATCCCATGTAAAAATGTAAGCATCGAAAATTTTCAAACGCTTCGTTGGTGCATGAGATAGTGAACTTTATGCCATTCTAATAAAATCTATTTGTACGCTTTATTATTGTGCTTAAGTTTTTATGATGTATATAGGTTAGTCGACAGGTGGCGCTTCGTGTGGGGCTTCTATTAAATAAAGTGAGTGAACATTGCATTGTGTATATTTGAATATGTGTGCTTTGGTTTGACCTCAACGAAAATGGACGTTGTGATAAACGTGTTAAAGTTTAAAATCGAATGTAGCTCTAGTGTGATGAGGACATCGGACTATGCGTTGTGTATATTGTCTTTCAGCGTATGTTATAGATATAATGGTATAGAAATATAAAAAATAATTTTTAGTAATCGGCTAAGCGGGGGCACTGTTTTTGTAAAAGACTTCTTTGAGATTTGACTCGTCTAATACATCCCATCAGCTAACTAAAGCATTAAAAATATTTTTTAGAATTTTTATTGTTTCACATGACTTCTTTTTTGTATGAATAACTCGACAGAATATCCTTACACTTGATATCGTGGCGTTGGCAACAGTGTCCCCGCATTAAACCTACTATAGATTTACTAATCAACGAGACGGATTATATTTGCGTGTAGAAATGCTAAGGATTGTAGCCGTCGCCGTTGCCTTTTGGGATTATAGGATTTTTTTTAAATCGTCCGTCATTCGGATGCACTGCGTAGTGTTAATAGAGGATATAATCTGTAATGTAATGAAATCGTGCGATATTTAAATAGACTAAAAGGCAGCGGCCGCTAAAAATGGGACTCGTGTACACAGAATGAAAAAGAATATTTTGACTGGCTGTATAATACAAACATCTTCTACATTATGGCCCTCTTAATAGAATTCTGTCTTTATCAACTAATTACTACAAAATTGAAAGATTTTTTATTTTTTTATTTTTGTACATGGCAAGCGTCGTTTATAATACTAGCAATAATTCGGTTTTAACCTCAGTGCAATATTTTACGTAAGAGCAGAAAAAATTAATCGTTATACTTTTTTTGCTAGCTGTACAATGTACTTTCATGGCAAAGGCTGTGTATGTGTGTGAGTATGTGTGTGTGCGCATGTTGACATTGTTCTGTGTACGCGAGTGTGTCCGTGAGACGGAACGCCCCTTGACTTGTTCTGTAAAGATGATTCTACAATATTGTTCGTATATTGTATTGTTTTCTTTTTTTAATAATATATTGTGTTTAAACTGCGCCTGTGTGTTTGATTTATCCTTCTATTATAAATATGTATGTACACAACACAACACATAAAAATTACAAATTAAAGCATAGTGTGATTTCGATTTTACTATGTACGACAGTCACAGATAAGTATTACACTGTACAAATTGAGTTGTAAAATGTAAGTATATTCTGTGAAATACAATTTTGGGACTTAAATTAATAAAACTGAGTGAATGAATGGACCTGATCGCATGAATGGAACTGTAAGTAAATGCCTAGATGCTAAAAGTAAACGTGTAGCTACGTAATGACTAAAATTATTATAATCCCAACCAATGGAGTAGCGTGTCGGACTACACTCGTGGTCTGAATACCTGGCTGCTATGTTGCGGGTCCTGAGTTAGAACTCGGCCGGAGCACATTACATCAATAGGCCAGATTATAGAATACAATAAAATTTTAAATACACGCCTTAAAACTGGATTTAGATTTAGCTAGACCGTAAGCGCGTAGGCGCTTACCTTCAGCGCTAATAATACGCGCTGACCGTTGTGTGTTTAGTACTTAGCTGACGGCAAATTTGATCGGACGTGTACAATTGCAAAGAAAAATGAATCCATTTTGATTTCTTATATTTACGCGAACACTACACATTGAATAAAACTATTTTTACGGATTTTATCGCGTTTAATTTACTTATTTTATATTCCCGACGTTTCGGTTGCTTTCCAGCAACCGTGGTCACGGGGGACTGAGGTGATTGACGTCCTGATGTCAAAGTTAACCCGGAGTACCTTCAGCTTTTTAATTATTAATTTTGGTCCGATCTACGCAGAATGAACTAACTGTGTCTTGAAGTCTTACAGTGGTATGCTTGGGTTTAGTTTTAATTTTATGAATTACAGGATCCCAAGCAGGTGGTAGTACCCAGCCTCCCTCTCTATTGAAATTAGGATGTTTTTTAATTTCAA